GCATGCACGCACGTGTACGTGCACATGCATGCACGCACGTGTACGTGCACACGCACGCACGCACGCACGAACGAACGCAGGTATACGTGCACACGCACGCACGCAAGTATACGTGCACACGCACGCACACACGCACGCACGTTTACATACACACGCACGCACGCATGCATAATAAATCGGTAATAATCGCTATCGGGTGTTGTCGTGTAGACGCTACATAATCGCTAACTCGAGTTAACGCTTAACTCAAGTTAGCTTAACTCGAGTTAAGGTTCGTCGTGTAGACGAGGCTATTATTCAGTGGCTGCTCTAATAAACCAACTCTTCGGGTGGCAAACTAGATGAGTTAAATGTCCTTCGGCACTTCCGTGCTTTAACTGATTAAAATTGTACTTTCTTTGATAATGACGTGTATATATGTTTGTCTTAAGCCCGGCGCACACGTGAGTAATTTTACTCAAGTAATATGATGCATGCGTCAAAATACACCCGTGTGCGGCGGATTTTCATTGAGTATTTTGACGCATGCATCATTTTACTTGAGTAAAATTACTCACGTGTGCGCCGGGCTTTATGCACAAATAAAACAGTTGGAATCTTGAAATCTTTATACTTCTACTAGTATGTATCTGAAGCATTTGACTCGACATTTTCCCGATCAACCCGAACATGTCTAGCTAGTAACCAATGTTTATCATACATTTTTCCTTCTTCTTACACGAGTACATTTGTATCTAATTCTATATAGCATTTTATTTCTGAATAAACACATGCTGACATAGTTTTAGTTATATTTAAGCAACTGCTGAGCAGCTAGCCAGAATTGTTGGTTCCAAGATGAGAACCAGAGAGCATGGAGGCGGTCGGCTAACGATTCCTGTGGATGAAAAATTCCTGTGGCTGATCGTGCTCCACTTCATGGCGAACGAGGGCAGCATCCAGAGAATCGGACAAATTTGGAGTGTCAGACTCCTCAGTCCTGCAGGCCAGAAGAGGTATTTTGGATGCCCTAAACTCGCTAATAGGTGTCTTCATCAAGTGGCCAACTGGCAGTAAAACAAACCGCGTAAAAAAACTCATTCGAAAGAAAGCGAGGCATACGTGGCATAATCGGTGCAGATGGCACCCACATCCCCATTCTTGCTCCCCACCACATGCCTAATGCCTATGTGAACAGAAAGTGGTTTCACTCCATCAGCGTGCAGGCAGTGTGTGACGACACCATGTTCTTCACGGATATTTATGCCGGGTGGCCCGGTTCCGTAGATGATGCGAAGGTGTTTGTCAACTCTCCTCTCGGGCAGTCCCTCCGTGAACAGCCGCACCCGCAGTGTCCAGGGGAAACATTCCTAATAGGTAATGCAGCCTATCCACTATATGCCCCTCGTTGCTCACTCCTTTCCGCGACACGGGGCGACTGACGCAAGATCAGAAAAACTATAACTTTGTGCACAGCAGCAGCCGCATGGTTATAGAGCGTGCGTTTGGCCTATTGAAAGGCCGCTTTAGAAGGCTAAAGCTCATGGAGGTGACAGCGATCGAGGAGTGTGTACAAGTTATCACTGCTATTTTCGTGGTCCATAACATTTGCCTGATTTCAGAGGATGAGGAAATCGAAGAGTTTATTGACAATGATAACTCTGAGGATGCAGACTCCACTGTATGCTTGGCATCAACTCCTGGTCTCAGATCCGAAAACACTGCAGGATCGCTGAGAAGACAGGCCGTGGTAGATAGCTTGTGGTGTCATATTTAATCATCGGGCATTTAATTATTGGACAACCCCTGGGATGTCACGTATGAAGAGTTGCATGATATTTAATGATTAGTTAGATAAGTTGCATAGAGTTAAATGATGTTCAACATTTTCAGTGTTACCAGGGAGAGTTTTTATCATCACATTTATTTACTCGACTTAAATACATCTGCATTTTTTTTATTATGCTTCTCTCTGGTCGCTTTCAGTCTTGCCTCCTCGGCCGCTCAGTCTTCCTTCATCTCGATTAATAGTGACCGAAAACCATCCGACTTCGACTCATATTTGCGCTTCTGCCCCTTCTTCCTAGCAGTCTCAGTAGTCGAATCTGGCATAATAATTTCCAATTTATTAAAAACATTCACAAGTTTCAAAATTAACGTATATACTTGTGTATAGGTCGTTTTGAGGGCCAAATTTTTCGGCAAAAAAGGGAGTAGTCGACCCATGCACGAGTAATAGTTTCAATTGGTTGAAATGTGTGCATGATGGGAATTGGCTAGGAGCAACTTTGAGCTTCAGACATAAAAAATATTTACCAGTTATTACCAGTAAACAGTCAAGACAAAAAATATGTACCAATTAGTAATGAAAAAATGTGTAGTGCCTTTAGCAGATGAAGCTCACTAACTTATAACTCACCGTATAATGTCCTTATTATCATATATACGGTATCACAGACAAATTCCTATACACGAGGCATATTATAAATTATTGAATTCTTGGACAAAATCGGGTCGACCTATATACAAGATCGACTTATACACGAGTATATACAGTAATTCAATTCCGGTCCATGCAAGAAAATTCATTACCCGAAGAATTTCCTGCAGTAAACGTGGGGGATCTTGGTGTAGACTCCTCCTCGGGCACAGCATCGGAGGCTCCTGGCATAGAACCAGCAGTAAAATGCGGCCGAATGTTAGGGGCATCCTTGAGGACATTTTCCATGTCATTAAAGAACACCCATGTTTTCCGACCATTGCCGGATTTTGCGTTGTGGTCAACAACACTTTCTGACCATGTTTTTCCACTTTGTTTCAACTTGCAAACCTGTCGCCTGAAGAATATTTTTACAATTGCAATGACTCGTGTGATTTTTTCCAATGTGGTTATGTTACGTGTGTAATTGTAAGATTGCCAGTTTCAACAGACAACAAATTGTATAAAATTATTGAGATATTTGAATCTAATTATTAAAGTTTTATTCATCTTACTAAGATAGTTATATTAAACAGTTTTGCCCTGCTTATTTTTAATATTTTATCTAAAAACATGCATGTAAGCTTACCACCAACATAGATCTTAGTTCAACCGCAATTTGTTCCCAAACCCTTTTGTTTGGGGTACGTGATGAGTTGAATTTATCGAGATTTGATTCCCGAAGTCGAATCTACTCTCGTGTGGCCCTTTCGCTCCACACACCTCTCAACCTCTGGCTAACTACCTGTGGGAGCTATTCAAGAACTAATGAATCATACGAAAGGAGTTGATCCTACAGATGTGAAACTTGCCAAATACTGTTTAAATTGAGAATACACTTGCCAGGGGCGTGTACAGGGGTAGTCCAGGGGGGGTCCAGGGGGTCCAGACCCCCCCCCCCTGCTCGCGCAGAAAACGCATCTAAGGGGGTCTAATTTCAAAACTTTGCGTGCTCGCAAGTTTGGGTTACGGTTAGACCCCCTCCCTCTGGTACAAATCCTGTACACGCCCCTGCTTGCTAGTGTTGTACAAACAAAAAAACCATTTGCTGTATGTAAGCCTCCATGAAATATAAAAATATAATAATCTCTGATTTGAGGTACGATAATTTGGTTTATTAGTTAGTTAGTTATAAAATCATCTTAGCTCATGGTAATGAAAATTAACTGAATAAACTTGCCAATGGAACAATAGTTATTCACTTCCAACTAGAACATAAAAGCATCTAAATGAATAAACTGCATGCCAGTTATGCAAATACTGAAAACACGAAATGAACAATGATCCAACAATCCTAATTCAACTACTCGTTTTTTCAACATGCAATGATTAAAGAACGGATTCATGCGCACCGAAATTGTTACCTGTCTCCGACTCTCTATGATTTCTCATCATAGTTTGTGCCAGCTCGTGATCTGTTACCATAGGTATACATTTCATATAAGATCAAGTACAATGATAATTACTACTAATTATGAAGCAATGAATTTTTAATAAAGATATATATTTATATTGTACGTGTAGCCAATACTTGACAGTGATTTGACTACTGACTTCCTGCTTCCAGCCGCTCCATAGTTGGCACATCTACGGTGACGTCTATTTCCATCCCATCTTCACCACGAAGAGTAACAGTTTGCCAATAACTAAAAATGTTACTAGACTTTAGTACTTTAGCAGTAATAGTGGTAGTAGTAGTAGTAGTAGTAGTAGTAGTATTAGTAGTAGTAAAGGCCAAGACACACTGCAGCGACAGGGACTGACCTACGTCTGGCTATGCATATGATATTGTACCTGTAGTGTACTACTACTACTACTTTTAGTAGTAGGAGGCCCTACTACTAGTGCTACTACCCTAGTACTACTACTAGTACTGCTCGTAGGGTATATGTCCCCCAGGGTACTGCCGGAACGTACCCTGATAACTATCTGATATGGTTAGAGTTAGGGTTAGGGTTAGGGAGTAGGCGAGGTACGGTCCGGCATATTAGATAGTACCAGGGTACGTTCCGGCAGTACCCTCTCAGCACTAGTACTACTAGTACGTCAAACTCCACGACAGATGGCGCTCTCGCTCATGGGCTCAATCTACTCAATCATCTCAATAATCTCAATCATCTCAATCTATCTTATCATCTCAATGGTATCCTGAGTGTACGAAGGTGCACTGCGTGCAGTTTTCCAGTACGTACCACACGTACTACTACTGTACTACTACTAGCGCTCATAGGGTCTATGTCCCTCAGGGTACTGCCGGAACGTACCCTGGTACTATCTAATATGCCGGACCGTACCTCGCCTACTCCACTAACGAGTCTATCCTCTCTACCCTTGAGCCGTCGCCTACGCCTACTCCCTAAACCCTAACCCTAACCCTGACCCTAACCATATCAGATAGTTACCAGGCTACGTTCCGGCGTGTGCACGTACACGTGCGTGCATGCGTGCGTGTGTGCGTGCGTGTGCATGTACACGTGTGCAGGCATGCGTGCATGCCTGTGTGTGTGCGTGCGTGCGTGTGCATGTACACGTGTGCAGGCATGCGTGCATGCCTGTGTGTGTGCGTGCGTGCGTGTGCATGTAC